GCAATAGCCCTCAGTTGGATTTTTGATGAATATCTCTGAATCTGTGGCTAGTAGTCAAATTTTCATTATAAACTTTTTTGTAGATCTTTATTTGTTCTATAAAAATGGTTTTGACAAAAATTTTACTATTCTCCAAAGTTTCCGAGATATTCAATGAAAAATTAACAATATTCAAAATATTTTTCATTGAATATCTCGAAAACGTTGGAGAATAGCAAAATTTTTGTCAAAACCATTTTTATAGAGAAAATAAAGATCTACAAAAAAGTTTATAATTAAAATTTGACTACTAGCCACAGATTCACAGATATTCATCAAAAATCCAGCTGAGGGCTATTGCGTTGAGCGCAGCAGGAGGTTTGAATAAGTTGCGCATGGCGCCAATCACGTGACTCATGGCACTGTCGCAGGGAGGGTAACAGCTGACGCGTTGCTCAGACTGCTCCGAAATTGCTATTATAATTTATAATCAATTAACGGTACATTTTGGGCTATAAGTTCCTAACTCCCCCCGATAGGACATTTTCTCAGCTACAAAGAAATATTTTTTTTTTTCCCATCTGATGAGGTTAACTAAAGATATCTAGGATTGAAGACGGCCTGTCGGCAATTCCCAATTGTTTATAACAAATTGTGAATCACCCCGGCAAATTTGAGCATATACTTTTTAAAACATTAATAATTACACTTTTAGCTATCGATTGGTGTAATTTGGTGCCCTTTGGTTAATTTCGATGTAAACGACATTTTCAGAGCTAATTTGACTGGACTACAGGATGAAAAGGTCTATTGTCTGATTTTTTTCTACTGCTTGTTTTTCTCATTCAACAATCCACTGTCGATAACATTAAAAAATAGTAAAAAATGTATAAAAACAAAACTTTTTATTTACAGATCTGGGTGAAAAAAGTATCGGACGCATCGAAAGTCCGAATATTTACAGCTCAATTGAGCCGTGGTAAAGTATCAATAAAGCGTCGTGCCTCATAACATAAAAAAAAACCGAGGATTGTCCTCAGACTCTCGAGATCACGTGATTGTAACTCAAATTCAAATTTTTCCTCTCATCTACCAAGTGACGATGATAATTCATTCTGACAGTACTTGTTTTCTGCCACCACCAGTACCAAACATTTTTCTGGTAATCAAGGGTCCAAAATATCCAGATAAAGTATGAAAAAACTATTAAAAATATGAGAAAAATGAGGGAATAGTTAGTCCACTTTGCTGGTGGAAAATTATCAAAATTATCTGATGAATAAAAGTCGCCAGCAACGATAAAGATGTATATCGCAGCGAGGGTCATGGTCGTGAGGGCCAAACAACGTATGAGGTCGATCTTTGGTGGTCGTATGGATATTTGAAGATCCCCGGGGGATTTTTTGATAAATATCAAGAGAGAGTGGAGGGGTTGATGCCGTGGGGTTCTTTCTACGTCGAAGGCAAAACCACATACCTCGCAGCTAGATCTGTTAGACTCCTCCAGCCATCTCTCGAGGCAGGGCTGGTGAACTGCACCCATTGTGCCCTGAAAATCATTCGTTATCATTTTTTTTTAAGGGATGTATGTGAAAAAATTAAATGGAATAACTCAACACTTTCTCTAAAAAATTGTATTGGAGTTTTGGGAGGACTATTTGGAGATTGAAGCAATGCAACATGTTTTATATTTTCTTGGTCATTATTCTGAGATAACGACGCCGGGCTGGTTTCCCACCCCATTTACTTCTAAAAATCTTGAGGAACTGCGCTGGGGGGTACCCAAAACCCAGAAATTCGGAGGCTGAATTATCTGAGTAATGAGTAAAATTTGGGACGAAAATGTCTGAAGATATGTTTATTAGAAATTTAGTGAGGCAGGAAAAAGATCTGAACTTTTCACCTAAAATGGAGCGTGATCGAGGTTCATGGAGAGTTGAAAAACAAAAATCTGGGGATATTCTTTAAGAAAGCAAGAAGTGGGTGTCTGAAATTGTTTTTTTATCGATAGAGAAGAAAATTTTGGTTGGAAAAAACTAGCCTATGATCTTTTTATCTTTATGAATTCGAAAGTTTCACTCATGAGAATTTCAAAGTTCGACGAATTGTGAAATTCAACTTTCTCACGTAAAAATGGGAAAGTTCATATTTTTGTCTACAAATTTAAGAGATGAATTTGAAACGTGGTTAGAAGTGTCTCCCAACTGAAGTTTTCATCCCCATTAATACATGGTTTGTGATTTTCTGTAACAATGAACAATGGAAGAATTAAATTCGAAAAAGTTAGGATTTCTACTTATTAAAAAAAATGGCAGTTAACTTAGATGGAGAATATCATATACTTTGAATAAAGAATGAGTTTTTTTGGATTTACATTGAGAGAAAAACAAACACGTTGTCAAACAAGTCTTGTTTGGGCCAACAAAATCGCTAGTTGAAAATTGCCAAAAAAGAATTTGTTTGGTTCAAATTTGACAGTCTCAAATATGAATAATTGTTCTGCTTTCGACAGCAACGAAATATTTGGCTCAAGAGGCAGATAATTCGCACCAGACGGTGCCTTTTCAGTATGAAAATATCTCATATAGAGGAAAATTTATCAACAAATATTTTATTCCTAAGTTACAAGATTGCTATCATATCATTATTATTGTGTCATTTAAGGGTTCATTTCTTGTGTGTGTTATTAGACAGCCGAAACGAAAAACACCTATCGCTTGTTCCGCATAAAACAAAGATGTTTTGGGAGGAAAATACCTATAGGAGTAACGAAGGAGTAGTGCTAGAAATGAAATTTCTTGCGTGTTCAGAGAATGCAATTTTTTTCAACTACTAAATTTATTTTTGCGACAAAAATTTTTCATTCTGGCGCACTCTGCATGTTTGGTACAATAAAATCCTTTTTTGATAATTTTCAAAAAACTATTTTCTTAGCACAAGTAAGACTTGTTTGAGAACTTTGTCGTTTTTCTCTCAGTATAGTGTTGGAAAAAAAGTTGGGAAATTGATAAAAAATTGATGGAAAAATTTAGGAAATAATTATAGAAATGTAAGTAGCAAATATAAGACTACAATTAAAATGAAATTTAACTTTTCTTGATGAGTAACGACTTTTCCCTGTTATGTAAAACTGAATTTTGTACTATTAATTTTTCATTACTTTTTAAATATAAAACTAGAAGAATTTTTGTTTCACTCAGATGTTTTACCCACTTTACACCTGCAGGGATAGATTATTGGATATCTCAAGTTGTCGTAACATATCCTGCAAAGTCCATCTATCGATGTTTGACTGAAAGTTGATCTCTTGGTTCTCTTCGGTCTTTCATCCCCAGATTCTTGAATGACTTCGTAACTTCTCACTGTCACCACCTCCAAAAGATCATCCAAAATACTTAAAACTAACTTCTTATTACTCATAATTAATTTATTGTTGAATAAAAAAACTCCAAAAGTCAGGAAATTTTAAAAAACAAGTTGATGGTTAGAAGGTTTAAGATAAAAGACAAAAGAAGTTGCTCATCATTTTTATTCGTATTTTTATTTCGGTATTCGAAAGTAAACGGAAAAATGTAATGGAAAAAATTATAGAACATTATACTGTGAATACTTTTCTGGCCTTCCTCCATTGTTCTTCGCGGTCTTTTGAGAATGGAGAAGCACGAGGCATATATAAAAGGGTGATATTGAATCACTAAGGGATTCTCTAATGAGTAAGGATATAAATAAACCATTCTGCTCCATTATATGGTTGAGAATTTGTATGCATATGATTTCCATTTATCCGTTCTGAAATTGCAATAAAAAACATTAGATTTAATTGAAATTATGACATAACACGTTTTACATTCTTAAATTTTCTGTGCTACAGACCCCCAAATTTTAGGCAAGTTCCATCAGTTCTTCTTACCATACTTGGAAATTCTTTAAAAACCCATTTCCGCAGGGCAAACTTTTCTGGTGCGTCACAAAAATGAATTTCCATCCCCATCCAAACTCCATTCATCATCTTTGCGAGCCTTGCAAAAATCTGACTTCAATGATCACACCACTCTTTTGCAATCTAAAATTTCCAGAACTTTGGTTCCTATCTCTAATAATACCCTGAGTTCTTATCTTTATCTCCATGCCCGAAACCTTTTTACGTTTTCAAAAATTTCCATTATTATCATCCTCATCCCCTGAACTCTAATTTTCTTAATAAAAAGTCTTGAGCAATTTCATTCAAAATGAAATTTTTGAAATCGTTCTTTCTTCTTATTCCCAAAAATTCTCATCCTCATGCCGAAACCCTTTCTCCATTCTCCAGAATCAACCAAATCTTCAAGAAATCGCCCTTATCCCCCTACTAAGAGAAAAAACATGTCACACAAGTTTTGTTTGAAAGAAAAAAAAATGCAAGTTGAAAATTACCGAAATAGAAATTAGCTCATTGAAACATACGGAACTTTCAAGCATCAATTATCGCTCTGCGTTCAACAACGCAATATTTGACTCAAGAGATGGATCATTCAGGTGAGATGGTGGGTTAGAGGGTATGATAAAGTGAAGTAATCCAATATTATGTAGTATGTTTAGATACGGATTCCGGAGTGTGAAAATTTCCGTCTCACGATTTTTTGACACTGCTGCTACGTTCACCTGCTGCCGAAAAGTAAACGAAATAGTATATTTCGTGTCGAGTGCCACTGGGGTTTTCACCTCGCCTTCGGCTCGGCGCGCCAACCTCACACGAGCCGGAAACCCCAGTGGAACTCAACACGAAATCTACTATTTTGACAATGCTGCTGCGTTCCTCTCGACGTTTTCGGTACTAGGTAAACGTAGCAGCAGTGTCAATAAATATTGTAATAAATTGTAATTATTCTATTCATGAATTCGTTTCATATCTTTGAGGCCTCCCTAGTTTCGCATGAAACGAGTATTTTCACATATTTCTAATGAAAAAAAAATCATTTTTTGAAAACCATTTCGTGCCCCAACAGGAAATAACAATTTTGTGGAACAACTAAATCTATTATTATGATACAAATATCTCATCTCTGGACACTCTCTAAATACTCAGCTCGGGATACTTTATTCTTGGTATTTTCATTTTGTGATTTTTTGCATTCGAAGGAGATTTGTGTGAGATGTTTTCTTTATCATTTAGTGCATCATCAATCTCTCATATCAGCCGCCTACTCCCCAATCATTTCAACACTCAGACAGTCCTCTCCCATATTACTAGGTGACGTCTCCATCTCCCCAAGTTCATTGGACTCACTGTCCAATGAGGGATCATTGCTGAACATCTCCGTGGGGACGGTGGGAGGCGCTTTCTCAGGTACCAATTCGAGATACGTCTGCCTTGATTCCAAATGCCTCTCCACCTCCTCAGGCGTCATGTGACCATCGGACATCATAGACACCACCGAAACAACATTATTCGATTGCACTGGCGTATTGTTCTGCGGTTTAAGAGGCTTCGGGTTCGGTTTTTTCTTTTTACTCGTGTTCTGAGGTTTCAGTGGAGCACCTGGATGTTGACTCAAGTGATTCACCTGGGGCTCTACCTTCTTCTTCTTTGGTGGCTCTACTTTCGGGCCTTCTTCCTCTGAAGATTCGGTTTCGTCACTCTCAGAGAATGACGCGTCCACCTTCTCGTACTGCAGGAGACGATCCAGCAGGAAACTCTTGTCCCTGTTGACCTTGAGCAATTTTCGCTGGGTTGATCGTAGGGCTTCTTGGAAACACTCATTTTCCTGTTGAGAGAAAATAATTTGTGATTTTTTCTAAAGGTGGTTGGGACAGCTGTTGGTGTCGTAATGTGATAAATTTCTTTAAAAGATTTCAAGGGATATTTGAGAGAATGAAAACAATATTTATCTAATTATCAGTGATTTCAGAGTAGAGACCCCTCGGTTGTTACTAATAACGCCTTTTCTGCTGTTTGCATTTGTTTTCTATACTTTTAACTATGTCTTCATACATAACTGATTTAATTATTAACGGGACTAAACATTAAAACAGTCATGAGACTAATGAAGCTAAAATCATTAACGAAACGTCGCAAAATGACAATTGGATAAACATTCTTTACATTTTTTTCAGTATTCCTTGAAATCTTCTGGATATTTAACAACAATGGAAATGGTATCCGGTGAATTCATCCCGGGATAATCAAAAACTCATCCCATGGCATTTCATCCCAAAACAAATTCATACCAAAACAAATTCATCCCAAGATGACAGACAACCCAAAATGTGAAATATTTGGATTCATCGGATTACCAGGGTATCGAATTTCGGTCGTATTCTTCAGGGTATTGGAATTAGTCACGCATAGAGCGTCTGCTAGTTAGTACGTCCTACAGTTCGCTGATAATTGTGATTGTGTTTGTTCTGGATTAAACCCACTATACCTTTAGAATTTGTTTTGAGTCAACGGGGAGCAAAAATGCTCGTCGATGGGGGAAATTTATTGGTTAAGCATCGTAGTGATGATCATGGTGTTGCATGGCGATAGTTAAAATTAATAATTTATTTCCAGTGGGTTATTTCGAATGTTTCGTATTAACCGTTTATTAATTTCGTGAATGACATGGTATGGTATTGTCACGCATTCAACGTGGTTTATTATCGTCGCCTATTTGATGAATATTTGTTGTGATGAATGAAGATTTATTTAATGGTTTCTCTTGGAATGTTTTCCGTAGATCCGATGATCAGTGTTGTGATGAAGATTGTGTAGAAATAGTGACATATTTAATTGCTTTCCATGTTTTGTTTAGTGTGTTTGCTTTTTTGCGAATAAATATTTCATTCTCTTCCCCCCCCCCCTATTTTTTCTTGTTGACGTTGAAAATTTCATCAGAATTTGAATTTTGGGATGAATTTTTCATGGGATAAATTTGTTTTGGGATGAGTTGTCCGGGATGAATTCACCTAGAACCTGTCATGAACCAGAACATGAAGTGTAACAAATTTTAGAATGAGGGAAGATTGGCATGAATCATTCGTGAGTAAATTACTGCAATTTATACCTTTGAAATAATTACCGTGGACGCCCAGTATTTCTTCTGATGTTGCAAAATTAAATGGCTGATGCTGCACGATAATTTTTCCAACGATGTAAATTGGGTTCTATTTGTAGTGCTGGGATATCAATTTTTCAAGGAATTTTTTCTCCGTGTGATTCTATATGAGATATTCCATGTCAAAGCAGTCTACACCTTATCGTCACCCTCTCAGAAGTAAATGGGGATTTTTCATAGCGTTAAGGGGCTTAAAAAACGATCTCCTGTTTGTTTATAAATTTTTTCAGGTTTTCCCGTTATTTAAAACTCGTGTTCTAATCAATCGATTTCAATTTGTCAAGCATCAAAATGTTCCATTTTCTGTTATTTTCGAGCATTTGTAGTACAAATTGATATTTTTTAAACATCTTTTTTCAATAATGAATTAAAAAAAAAACAAAGTTGAATTGTTCCCAAAGGAACAAATGAGAAAGGCGAAAAGACCCAAAACTGGGAAAACCCGCCTTCTCACTAAGGAGTTCATGAAGACATTCAATTAGTGCAGCCAGGGAAATGAAAAAAAACCCAGATGACTACTGCCTGGACTATGACCAGTTTCTCAACTTCATCGACAAAACATTTGAAACAAAAGACCTTAGAATTCTTTCTGAGCAGAATGGGAAGAAGCTCTCAGACCTTGCTACCACCTTTAGATGTCTCCAACCGTATATTACGGACATAACATTCAAAAGCAGACTGACCAACCTGGCGAACAAATTCGAGAACATCTCGAACAGCACAGAGGAAGATGGATATCTAACTGCTTCATCCCAAAATTAACCGACATCATGATTCTCAACAAACACAACAACAAACCGTAGACACCAACCTACCCTGCAATTTGAAAGCCATCTTCTGGAACATCAGAGGCATTAACGCACATCGAGAGGACATAGAACTTGCCCTTAAAGACATCGATATATTCATCGGTGTCGAGACGAAACTGAACCCGGCGGATCAACGGCCTTATAAGTTTTCTGGCTTCAGTACCTACCGTGTAGATAGATCTATCTTACCCGGGGAAACAAGACAGGGGGTATTATAATAATTGCCAAAAATAATTTATCCATTAAACCCTACAAAGACATTATCAACCCTCACGCGAACGTTGAACTAGCAGCTATTGAAATCAATAATGTCAAACCGAAAATAAATAAATGTACTGGTATGTTATCGGAACCCCGAAAGTAGTTTAGATCTTGAGCACTGGAAAAAAATAATTGACATATATAGAGAATATGACAATTGTTTATTGGTTGGAGACTTCAATGCCCACCATGTTACATGGAACTGTAGTCAAAACAAGCCAGACGGATTAAGACTATATGATTGTATGCAGAGGAACGACATATTTCTACATAATACCGATACCCTCACTCATCTAGACGTATATAGAGGAAAAAAGTCAAATATAGACCTGGTAATGGGCAGCCTGGGAATAGCAGATATCATAACTGTTAGTGCACTCGATGAAACTTAGGGTTCCGACCACTATCCAATAAAAATTAATCTCAACGTCCAAAAAACGCAATATATTAGAAAATCATTCAAGATCACTTCAGTTCAAACAAATTGGGACACACTTGACATATTGTTAAATAATTCATTGCCACTGTTTCTCACACCAATATTTTATAATCTCAACCCCATTGAAAAATACAGATTTTACATAGAAAATATTGTTACCAATGTGGCTAAATGCACTCCGAGGAAAAAAGTAGTATCAGCTAAAATACATAGAAATCCCGTTAAGTGGTGGGACCCAGAGTGTGACGGTTAAGAGACTCCGCAGGGCTGGGTTCCAAAAGTGGCGATGTACCAAGAGACTTAGTGATCTCATAGCCTACAACAAAGCCACCGCCATTGACAGAAAAACTTTTAAACAAAAGAAGAAACAATGTTTCATTAAGTTTGCAGAAAAATTAAACTCCAGGAAAAATATTAAATATGTTTGGAACACGTGCAAAGTACTGAAAAATGCCTGGATAAATACAGGATCGCAAAATCCCAGAGATTTTGTTGAGACACAGGAAAAAGTTTTTCGAGCAATGGAGAAACTAACCCGAGACGGAGATTTCACTGACCCTGCCTACATCACCCACTCAGATCCAAATCCTTTATTCGACCAGTCTTTCTCCTTCGATGAATTTAATTACGCATTACACCATAGAAACAGTCATTCGGCTCCGGGGATTGATGGTATCGATTACAATCTACTAAAAAAACTTCCAGTCCAGCTCAAGTTGATCCTCTTAGTCATCTTCAGTGAAATCCACCAGACTGGAAAGTTTCCTCCAGAATGGGAGAACACCTTTCTACACTTTATCCCCAAGAGAAACAGTTCTGGAGTCAGACCCATAGCTTTAACATCTTGTATACTTAAATTATACGAATTGATATTGAAAAATAGACTCCAATGGTGGGTGGAACGCAACGGAACCCTTCCCTTCTCCCAAACTGGCTTTAGATCTGGACTGTCCTGTAGGGACAACCTGGTCAACCTCACATTCCACGTGGAGGACCCCTTTCGAGAACAAGAACAGACGCTAGCAGTCTTCCTGGACGTTACTGGAGCATTCGACATCGTCGGGGATAAGCTATTGGATGTCCTCGCCGAGGCCGGGTGCTCTAGTACCGTCCTTAGATTCATCAAATTCCTCACCCATGGAAGGGTTCTCCACTGTGACGCTCTGGGTGACAATACTAGAGTTGTCAGCAGGGGGCTCCCCCAGGATGGCGTACTCTCCCCCCTCCTATACACCATTTATACTAGAAAAATTCTGCACAAAATAAATTCCAGAGTGGAGTCATCACTTTTCGCGGATGACATAGCTCTGTTTATTCGCGTCTCAGATTATGAAACCGACAAACTATTTTAGAGAAAGCAACAGACCAGATTACAGCTAACCTTAGTACCCTAAGACTGGAAGTCGCCCTCGAAAAAACAGTGCTGATGCAATTTAGCAAGAAAGACTTTGCCGGAGACCACCCAGATCAGAATAAAAGACCATACCATAGTATCTTCTCCGACTGCTAAGTTTTTAGGTATACACTTTGACCAAAAATTGAATTTCAACCACCACATATCCATGCTCCAGCAAAGATGTCTAAAAGCACTGAATATTGTAAAGTTTTTACGAAGAACCTGGTGGGGAACAGACCTTGAAACATTGATCGGACTGTACAAAAGTTACGTCCGATCCATAATGGATTATGGTCTGTTCGCATACTTCCCTAACACAAAAAAATACCAATCAAAACTAGAGTCAATCCAATACGCAGCCATCCGCTTCGCTCTGGAATACAGACGCACTACCCCAACCAATGTCTTGATAGGAGAATCCAAGGTTATGCTCATGAAAGACCGTGCTAGCTTCTTATGCAAGACACATTTAGTGAAAATCCTGAGTAACCAGTCCACCCAAGTATATGACTCAATCTCCCTTATTTTCAAAGAAAAGAGAACAAGAATCCTTTGCAGAGACAAACTAATCACCAAGTGCATCAGAGAAATATTGCAATTTGAGAATACCTTACATGCCAATGCTAATTTCAATACTTTCCTCCACTCCTACGACACCTTATATACCTCCATAAAAACAAAAGGCGATCTCGACTCAACTCTCCAATCCCTGCCAGCTCCAAATGAAGCTTTAAACCAGGAAATCGCAAGTAATTTTCGAAATTGGAATATTATCTACACTGACGACAGCAAAGAACCGGAAGCAGAATACGTGGGAGCAGCCTGTCATTGCCCCAGCTTGGGCACTGGCACCTCTGTAATCCTTAACACTGACTGATCCGTTTATACCTCGGAGTGCATTGCGCTGAACCTAGCCCTAGACTTGGCCAATAAGAACAGGGAGACCAGTCACCTCGTGCTCTCGGACTCACTTAGCGTTTTACAAAGCCTAGAATCTATTCATTTCCATCCTCATATCAGCCCATACACTGCTCGCGAAAAAAAAATACCAAGAATTCATGGAAAATAATGCCTTCAACACTCAAATCATCTTTCGTTAGATCCCAGCGCATAGGGGGATCGAGGGCAACGAGAGGGCTTACATCTTAGCAAAAAATGGTGACGAACAGAATTCTGAACAATTCTCAGTTCCACCCACAGATTTCAAAGCTCGATTTAAACGAGAAAGCTACATTAACACCCGAGAATGCATCCAAGAACAAGCTCTTCGTAAAAATGAACCGAAAGGACAGGCCTATTTCAAACACTACTGGAAAAAGAGCTGTCGGCCCTGGTACTTCAGAAGCAGGCTCCCTAGGGAACTTGTCTGTGTTAACAGGGCTCGGGCAGATCACTATCACCTAAACAAATCCCTATATCGCATAGGTATTGTTAACATTGAGGAGTGCAGATGTGGAGCTTCGATGCAGGACATTAACCATGTCATATGGGAATGTCCTGAGTATTCTAGTCAAGATAGGCAAGTTATGAATGAAAAATTGATGAAACATAATTGTCCTAGGCCTTATACCATAGCTGCTCTCTTGGTGGCAAAAAACTTTGAACCACTGCGAATAATACACCAGTTTCTTAAAAAATGTAAAATTAGAATTTAAAATACGCAATAATCAATGTATTTCAAGATGGACCACAAACTAAGCTACATAGATTTACTATATTACAATATGTACCTATTTGATTGTAAATGACCCACTGTAGGTTAATACATAACTAAAAAAAAATGAAAAAAGTTGAATTGTGCCAATTGCATCACATTTGATTTTCTCCATTTTTTTCATCTATTATCACAATTAAAGTAAGTATTTTCAGCTATACCAGAAATTGAACAAACTCTTAGATCTTTTTCGTTTATCATTTTTTTGTTCAAAATTTCCCGTTTATCAGTGGAGATCCTTATAAGGACTTCAGATTATGTTCTTTATATACATAAAAAATAAGGGAAATAACTAACTCATCAGTTGTCAGAAGTATAATCAATATTGTTTGAAGATTTTGTAAATAATATTTCCAATGATAATTGGTAAATTTTTAAGAGGAAAATTAAAAAGAAAAAAAATTGACGTGATTGACAAAATTAACTGATTTTTCAATTTTTTTGCGTTGAAAATTCATCAATTTTGAGATGTAGGCATTGGAAGATGCACTTCATGCCCATAGTGGGTAGCACACTAACTTGTGGAGGGAATCGCACGAGATTGTGACGTATTTTTCTCTCCTTGTACGTAGAATGGGCAAGAGGAGATAAATTATAATTTTCATGTGAACTTACATAAATTAAAAACTTGAGTTTTCTCTTAAGATTGCGATACTGATCCTTATAATTAGGTACTTCCTCTTCGGGGCTATCTTCCTCATCATCCTCGACCTCTGCAGTATTGTTGGCTATAGAACGACAGTACCATCCTTCCAACATTGATTCTAGGACACTATAAACGTCAGAGTTGGTAATATCATTGGAGCATGACAAAATACTTCGCAGTAATGAGTTATTTCTGCGGAAAACGTTTGGAGTTAGTTCCTTCGAGGTTAGGTACCTGAATTTCTGTTTTGTAAACAAAAAGATTACCCCTTCTCTCTCCAGCGATTCAAAATTGAATTTACATCAATAAAGAATTACCTGACAGTCCGATTGATTTGGTTATGAAGAAATGTTGAACTCTTTTCGAATAAATGATTGCTTTTCACAAGTTGAATCGGCTTTTATGAGACACAAATAAATTTCTATAATTTTTTCGACCGATGGAAAAACACTAGGATAGTCGCCATTGTTTCTCAAAACTCCCTAGAAACTAGACTGTTATGTCCGCCCAGATGTCACTAGGGCAACCAGCGCCAATTTCAAAATTGGCGGAAAGGGTTGGCAGGAACGTTTGCAACTGAAGCCCGGATGGGCAATCCAACGAAGTCCAACAATTATCTCATGAAATCTCTGCTAAATCCTTGACTTGATGATTAATAATTATGAGGAACAGGTTATTTAAAATAAATCCAACACTGAGTGCTTCGGGAGAGCACGTAAACTATTTATTCAATCAACAAAACTTCAAAACTCTAATTATTTGAAAAGGTAAAAGATCTGAACTCTGAAAACTATGTCGTCGAACTGCCTCTAGATATTCAAAAACTGCCCCTCGAAGGGTCTTACTTCCCCTACTCTTTTCCAAAGTTGCGCACGCATCTCCTATGTTCTTACATGCTAATAGAAACTGAAGGGAGAAAGCTAGGCGACGTTGCGATGCAGTCAACGTTGCCTAGTCTC